TTGCCCTTTGTTCCTTGATCTTGAATTGCTGGACCCTAGGCAGACCACCACGTGTTGGTGTCATTCGTGAGACTACTGGTTTTATAACCTCAAATGCATGTATACTTCGCAGTTTTCTACCTCATCTTGTTAACTTTACGGCGTTCCGTTAATTTTATTGTTTATTACTACATGACCACTAAGAATATCCGAGTTATTCAGACTGCCTTCTGATATTGTCCCTGTCCTCAGGTGCGTTCATTATTGTGAAGGAGTTAGTATTGTACTAAGACAACCTGGCGGTGATAAACATGAGTAATATATAGAAAATAAGATATGTGTACATATGATGAGCTTATTCGTTTGTCTCGACTTTGTTGAAAACTTTTCGAAATAGCAAGGTATCGTGCTTAGAATAGAGATGCAATTTACAGATCCCAGTTCAGCCAACCTCAAAATCGACTCCTCTTCTTGTTACCGGGTCTCAAACAATCCCTATACAGAGACCAAGAGATGGGATGGCCGGAGTGGACTTGATGAGGGAGGAGAGGGGCGGCTTGGCAAACATGCCCACTTTCCAGAGGACAGAACAGTCATTATATGGGGCTTTGCGGCACTTTAGAAGCCAACCAACCTGCCAGATCTCACTCCTCTTCCCCGCAGCCTGAGAGTATTCTTTGTTGTTGGTCCGCGACTGATTATTCTCCAGACTCGTGAGCGTGTTTATTTCGCAGCCAGTCTTTGCTGAAGGCCGTTCCATTATTCACTACCTCTCGACGCGCCGGGTAGCCAGCAGATAGACCAACAGGTAACCCGTCTTCCGCCAGTGGCAGACCTTCTTGAAGTAACTTATATGTACATTTATGACAAGCGCTTGGCGGAAGATTTATATCATGCCAACCACTGCGTCCTATAGCCGACCGCCTCCACTGTGTCGCCTACTGTATTTCCTGTTTCATACTCAATCATGATGGGGTTCGCCGCTATTACAGAGGTTAAATTCATGGACAGAGCTCCCAGGTCAAATTATGTGAGAAGTACTAGAGGGTGGAAGACAATGAGTTGGAGGGTTAGTTCTGTATAAACCCGTGGACCGCTGTTTCATGCTGTTGTGGCGACTGGCGAGTCCCGGTCGTGTGCTTGCAGTGTCAATCATGCCTGACATGGGCAGATTCTATTCAGTCGACTACTTTTGCTGATTTATGGGATCAACATTGAGGCCATAGTTCTCGGGTGTGCATGCGTCGCATCGTGTGAGACCAAGATGGTTGCGGTTGTCTGAGGATGAGGTCGATTAAGGCAGTCGTACTCTAAGGTGGTCATGTATGGAAAATTCAGCAATTAAGATAGCTAAACTTAGCGCTGCAGGGTGCTGGACAAAAATGGCAGGAGACACCGTAATGACGGTCGGCAACACTGTCAGCACAAACTCTGTGCTCAATGGCGGCCAACACTGCCTAAGACGGCAGATAATGTTCCTGTGCAGACTGAATGCCAAATTCTGATGTCATCACCTGCCAACCGGGAAAATCTTCTCCCCACTAATAGTAACAGTTTCCGTTAAGGCTACCATCAAGCATGAGGTTGTTCCCCATCGGCAATGACGGTATCAGTCCAGATTTTCTGTTGTCGAAACTAAGTTACAGAATTGTCTGGGTTGAACAGGTGACGATTATTTACATGACTTCACCCAACCTGCATGCCTAACTCATGTCATTTGTATCTGCTTGCAAGCTAGGCTACTAGCACGGGTGGACGTCCTTGTTTCGACTAATATTCCTCTGCTGCATAGACATCATTATTCAGCGGCTAGATTTCAATCTGTAATTTTATTTTGTGTTTCTATTAGGCGCGACTTATGGACAACAACTGTATGAGTGTTATCATCATCTGTTTTTTTTAGATTAAACGCCCTGAATTAAAAACGGTCTCGAAAAATTAAACCAGATTACAATAATTCCTTTGTTTCTTGTCATTGACATGAATTAATAGAGGAAAACAGCATCACAATCTAAATAACAGACGAAAACCAAACTGTTCAACTGGTTATTTCAGGCCATATGTGTGTGGTCATTTGTCGGTCCACATCTGTCGAGGCTTTCAAGCGCAAGCTGGATTAGTATACCACTCCACATCATAGTATCACTCGACCGATTCCGTCTTAGCGTTTCGTTCTGACAATTTATTATTATAATACAACTGTATCTATTTCAGCAACGTTTGTTTTTAATTTATTTATTGTCCCAAGTCCATTGCATGCGAATGCTGGCATTCACTTCGTCTCCCTCAGATAACTGAGATCATACCAATTTTCTACAACATAATTATGCATGGACTGACTACTGTACAGTGTATTTAGTAGTGTTAAGGCTCTTAATACTTGACTACTTAATTTATCTGTCCGGTCTAGAAAAAAGATTTCTGCAGCTGTTTGATGTTTCCATTTTCACATGTTTGTTATAATTCGTCCCCTTATAACAAATAGGGAGTTCGAAGGTTTAACGCCTACGTTTCCCTTAAGTAAACTGACCTGAACTGAACAGTCCAAGCTCTTAAGAGGCTTAGTTTTGAGAAACAAGAGGTTCCGTGATCGAGTTTGTCAACAAGCTAGTGGCTAGAGCAGAGGAGCCGACCGTATATTCCGAAAGTCAGAACTGCACAAAAATCGAAAGTCTAAGCTGCTTGTCCACCTGGAATGACTCAGAGCGATCGATTTTTCTAAACTTTTACATGCGCTGGCCGTTTCGTGGCCGTCTGATCGATAAGGCATGTAATGTCGTCTTGCGAGCTTTGGTAAGTCACCACATAACGGAAGTTGGGTTAGCGGGAGAAATGACTGTTCGAGCCTCTGACCGGTGGAATACTCCGTGGGACGACACGACTGTCAAGATGTCCCTCTTCTCCCTAATTATGATAACCTCAATTATCCCATCTCTTGGTCTCCGTGTAGATAATTGTGTAGGACCTGGTGAGGAGAGAAGGCAATTTTGAGGTTGACTGAACTGGAATTTGTTGATCACATCCCTAGTCTAATTCACGATACCTTGCCATTTCGAAAGTTGTGAACATAGTTTGGATAAGCAAATTGGCTCACCAGACTTATCTAAATCGCACAATATTATAACTCTCCCTGCCTGAGCATGCTAATGCTAAACTGAGGGCAACTAGAGTAGCTGAAAGTTTTGGAGAAGCGGGAAGAATCAACAGCCATCCAGATAAAATTTTAAAGAAGAGAAGGTGGTTGTCGATACAAGCGAAAGGTGAATCCAACGAAGCACTTCAGCAGAAGGATATGCGATCGCTGGGATAAAAGTTTCATTCGCCTACCTTTGCGGATTCTCACTCGAAAATGACATCGGAGACGGCTACCTAATGCTGGTGGGCACACAGGGAGTGCAGCACTTGTGACATTTCGGCCGTCGATTTTGTCGACGCCCATCGTGTGCCCAACAAGAGGGTGTGCGCAGGGACGGCGAGTTGCGTGTGAATTAGTTTAAAGTGATATTAGACGTACGCAACAAATACCACACTCTCTCCTCTTCTCCAACTTCTAAAAGGTGTCAAGGCAGAGTCAAGAACACCGGAGGCTGGACCGAGCACATTTTGCTAGCGTAGCGTGAACCAGCATCCGGGCGTGTCGCCACATCCCCTGATCCCCGCAAGAAGGATCAGGATTCCGAGCAACAAGAAAAATGAGAAGGGGCTTGGATCGCGACTGAGTGGGAGTGCCGTAGAGGCCATATTAAGAAGGAGCCATCGAAGCCTGTGTATTCATCCTCAGAGAAGAGCTGAGTTATCACGTCAGTTAGAAACCTTCCAAAGCACCGCCTTTAGCGCATCGTGATAGTTTCGAACACGCCAAAGTTTTTTTAGTGGGAAATAGGGTCTAAGAGAGACGACCCTACTCTTTCTTCACTCTCGCATGCACAAGTCGATTTTCCAAGCTAGTTAACCAACTGATGCTGCGATTGGACGATGGTTGGCAGAAGTAAAACAACAGCCAGTTTGCGCGTGCCACACACACGACAGTTAGACCGTCGTTTCCGACGATGTCCACCGTGTGCTGCAGAGCAAAGTGCAGCAAGCGCGGTGACTTTCGCGTCAATTAGTTTAAAGTAATAGTGGACTTGCGCAGCACCTGACGCGCTCCCTCTTCCCCACTCCCCTTCTGGACCCGGTGTCCAGACAGAATCAAGAAGACCGGAGGCGGGGATGGCGCACGTGGATGGCACGGTCGAGCCCGCGTCTTGGCGTTCCACTCCACACCCGCTGGTCCACACAGCAAATAACCAGGGTTTCGATTAACAACAGCAATGGGGGGTGGCAGGGTCCAAGTGTGCGCGACGTACGCCGGCAACTTGGTCAGCCTCGGCACCCCGAAATGTTGGCATTTGTTATGGTGCGCAGGTCCAATAACGCCTGCCAGAATCCGATTTGACCCCTGTGTTGGTCCAGCGAATCTACCGCGTGGCCCGTCTGGGGGGCACACACACAAACACACCCACACACGACAGTTCGACCGTTGCATCGACGATGTCCACCGTATGCTCCACAACAGGGTGAGAGGAGGGACAATGACTTGCGCGTGATTTATATTGCGAGTAGATTTGCGCTGCATCTGCCACATTCTCTCCTCTTTCCACACGTGAGCCCGGTGTCAAGACAGAGTCAAGAAGATCGGATATGGGGGAGGCCGCAGGTGGATGACACGGTCGAGCCCGCACCTTGACGTTCTACAACACCCCTGGTCCAAACAACAAATAAGCAGATTATGACCAGCAACAACAAAGATTGGAGGCTGGCACGGCCGAAGCCGCACCTAGGCGTGCCGCCAACGCCTAACTCAGATCCCGCACTATGGTGGGAGTGCCATAAAGGCCGAATTAAGAAGGAGCCATTGCAGTCTGACTCTCA